CCCACCAATTTGGGCTGAATGCACGCTGATGAGTTCCAGTGCTGTTAAGTCTCCAAACTTCTGGCATACCTGTGAGTGACTTAACCATAATCTCTTGTCTGTTCCAGTTCTTGGTAATTCAGTAATAAGGAGGTACTCGGTAGCTAGAAGATGCTTTTTATCAAAAATGAAATATTAACTGTAAAAAATACTTGATGCTGTTGTATCCATTTTTGTAAGAAAAATGGACTAGTTGGACTTAGACTAAAGCATCTGGAAAAAATGAGAAAATACTGAGGAATAGCGTACGGGTTGGTGGGTGAGCTCAGCCCATGGCAAAGTGTGCCTTAGTATCCTGGCCTTTTGCTTAGCTAGAGCTCGAGGTTCCAGCGCCCGGGGCCTTCCTTCGGACCCTGCCATCAACACCTGAGGTGGCGCGAGAGGGCTGGTCCGTGAATAGAGCTCACAAGTTTAGATACACACCGAGGTGCGACGTTATAGCAGGAAGGAAAGGGAAGCGATTTTTTGCTATTACTGAGCCTTATCCTCTGGTTGGAAGAAAGCAGGGGGGCTTTTTTATGCTGTTTCTATTTCTTCCCGCTACAAGATAGTCTCGAGTCAAAGGTTATGTACTGCAAGTGGCAATTGTGACTTTTAATGCTCATTTAAAATGCTGATTTATTCAACAGTGAAAATATAAATTAGCCCGACAGCAAATAATTAGAACAAAGCTGTGGCAGCGAACATTACATTGGAATATGGCTAATAATAGAAATGTGTGGCACATGCCGGTATCGGCAGCGTCGCTGGGTACAAGTGTTTCAGTGCTGGGAATACAAGGGATGAAGTACAGGAAGTTAGTCTTAACTGCAGTGCGAGATGCTCCCAATAAATGCAGGTAACGTCTCAAAGCATGTCACAGCAGAACATAATTTAACATGGTTCTCTTTTCTGCGGTACTCAATATCTCAGTTTAAATTTCCTGAATAGCTGCTTCCTCATCCCATTTCCTGAAGTAACTGGTATTTGCATAACTGACCAACCTTGACGTTTGGGGTTTGGAGGAGTGGGGTGTTTCTATAGTGCAGGACCTGCTCTATGCTTTTGAAGAAATAAAAATTGCTACAGGTGAGATTTTGTAGATCTCATGTAGTGGCACGCTGGTACGTTAATAAATAGAAGTGTTTGGTCTCCAAAATTCTAGAGTAGAAACAAAGGCTACCTGAGAAATGGACATGGAACTGAAAAATCAAGTGAATTATTTAACGTAGCTTGTGTGGAGATGAAGGCATGGTGGAAGATACAGAGGTAAAAATATTTTCATGGCTTAAAAAAAAAAAAAAAAACACACCACATATCAGAGTTTCTCTTTCTCCGGAAAAGTTCTCCAGAGTTCTTCTCCAACTCTCAGTTTTGTTCCTGAAGTTTTACTCTCCTGAACAAAAACACTTGAGTGAGTTAACTCCAAGAGTTAACTTCCAGGTCCTTCAAACGAAATCCTTGTAGTGGTTTGTTGGGTTGGGTTTGGTTTGGGTTTGGTTGGTTTTTATGTTGGTTTGTTGGGGGTTTTTTAAAATTAAAAACAGAGGTTTTTTTAAAGTCAGGATTTTAGGAACAACTGAAATAAAGCAGTAATGAATCTCTACCACTTGCTGCAGAGTATGGCAGCCTTCCTGTGTAATATTCTCTTACATTCCATAATCAAAATCCTGGTCCATCACAAAAGAGAGCAATGTAGTACTCTAGCTAAAGAAACTCAGCAAAACTACTCTCTGCCTCCCTCCAACCCAATATGCTTTTGGTATGTGCTATATATCAAGGAAGCGAGGTCTATGTGCTGTAGCATGGACCAAAAGAATTTGAAAAAAGGGATGCCGCCACCTTTCAGGTCAGGTGTAGGACAAAGCAAGACGATGGCTAGAGAAGCCCCTGGGCAGGAAGCCTTTCCCCTCACCTCACGCCAACGCCACTGGTCTGGGCCATATGCCCTAGCTGTGACTTCAGTTAGGAATAACAGCTTGACAAAGGTCGGGGGGCGAGGGGGCGTTAAAGGCTGTAACGGACACAACTTCATAATATGTGTCGAACTCGGACTTCCCCATTGCAGAGTTTCCGGTTACAATAGATGTAAGATTTCAAGTGGACTTGCATGTAAGCATGTTTTCTGTGGTATCGGACTAATCTTGAGAGTTAAAAACAAACAGTCTTTGTATGGATCTTGCCATCAGATTTAAATCTTATCCCTTTCTTATGGTGTTTGATCTAAGGTACATATCTTGAATGACTTAAAAACTAGAAAACGTAAGTGAGCCAGCTAGGCTTTGTTCCAGCTGTTGTTGTGTTTTCCAGTTCAGCTTCCCTACACACCTATGGTCTGCTGCCTGCCATTTCAACAGTCTCTGCTATAGCATTATTCCCTAATAATGCATTTCCTAGGCACAAACACAAGCCCAGTATGAGAACCAGAGACCTCTAAAAAAAAAAAACAAAACCAACAACAACAAAAAAAACCCACACCCAAACCAAATGTAACTACACACAAAAAAAAAAGAAGATAGGATAAAGCTTTCTCTCACAGCACAATGCACAGGCATAAGAGCATGAGGCTAACTGGAAATAGTTACGTTTTCTAGCAGGCCATAACACACTAATGTTGACAATATTTTGAAATAACTCGTTCTTTATTTGTTACCATTGTAAACATCTCTTTCTATTACACAGACATCACAGTTTACGTTATTGCTTTTATATTGTGGAAAACACAAATTTCTATTAGTATGCGGCTATCTAAGCACAGTGTGATAAGAAGAAACTGCCCACACGCTGTCTTGGGCTGTCTTTTTTTTTTTTTTTTTTTTTTTTTTTTCCTTCTTCCCTAGAGAAAGACAATATACAGACTGGCACAAGAAACATCAGTCCAAAGATTGATCACCATTGTACTACAGCAACACAAAACAAGTATGACAGGTTACATCTTTACCACACATTCACTAGCAGTATTTTCAAGAATACTGACTGCTGAACTCCCATCTAACTAAATACAAACTTTTTCATCATGGTAACTCTTAAAACAAGGCTAACAGGTTTTTTTTTGTGAAATGTTTGTTACTTAAACTAGGATGGAAAAACTGGAAAATGAATGCTTGGGGCTTTGTGTGTGTGTGTTTAATTTTTTGTTTGCATTTTGTTTTGTTTTTCAAAGAGTGGAAATCCAAACCTATTTATCCGAGGTGCTTAAATTGGCCCCTTTTCCTATTGTCCTTTAGGACAAAACACCCTATTCTTTACACTGCTGTATCAGATGACAGCAGCACAATCCGTTTAAAAACATTCTCAGTTTCCTTCTTCCTAAGTAGCACTGTCTTCAACTCGCTTTCCAATCAAGTTGGTTACTTACGGAGCACTGTGTTTACTTATTGAAGGACTAGATTTTACTTCTGCCTGTGGTAAACTTCTACTTATCTTCAGATTAATTTGTTCAGGGAGTAGCACCGTGTTTCAAGCATACACTAAACAACAAAAGTGGAGGTAGCTTGTTAAACAGTTGCTACAGGAACAACAACAACAAAAAAATTAGAAAACCACCTTTTTGTCTTCAGTTTTAGATTTTTTTTTTTTCTAAAACTACTATTGCATATAAGTTTTCACATAGTGAATGCTTTAAAGAGGCAGCAAGTTAGAAAACTAACAGTACTTGCAAATTCTAATAAGGTAATACATACTTTAAAACATGACAGTTAATAAATAACAAGAGAATTTACTAAGGTTTTAGGACTCTTAGAATAAACCATGAGCAACAAATTCTGATATTAAACAAATTGATTATATCAACTTGCAGAAAGGTGGCCTACCTCCATTCTGAATCTTGCATAACCTTAGGATTGTCGCCCTACAACAGAGTTAGTATTAAAATACCGCTGACTAGTAAAACATTGTTCTTCCCTTCCCTAAAAACAATTTTACCGTTTTCCATGTATTTTCTAGCTACCACCATAATACAATTAGCCTACCACTGGTGCAAAAGAGGGACACCCAGTACTAGTCTACCTATAGTGAGTGACTTCTAGACAGGACTGGCCTACTTGATCATACAAAACTACATGCAAATTCTAACCGTTTACTGGGAAGGTGTATTGAAGCCTAACATAAACATTCACTTTAATTACTACAGGCAAACTAATGCATTCCTGTGTATCTCACTCATCTGATTTGGGTTACTTTTGGGGTTACTTTTTTTGTTTGTATACTGCCACAGTTTGCTCCCAGCTCACAGTTTGATTTTTAAAAAAGAGAAAAAAAACCAAAAAGCTAATGAAGATGCATCTCACATTGGGCTCAGTCTACATTCTACAATAAAATGTCTTCGGTGTGTGATAGGAAATCTGAAACTTGATGGCTGGGCTTTAAAAGCTTCAGCAGTAGTTAAATGTCAGTCTGCTAGTGAACAATGAGCCAAGTGAAAGTTTCAAGGCTGGAAAGAGGAGGGCATAGATTATTTTTGCACCTGTTGTCAAAAGGAAAAAAAGGTTACAAACTCTAGCACAGGGGAGTGTTTCAGAGAGATGGCTCAAGCAATTTTGTTACTTGCTTGCAAGCAGTAGATGAAAATAAAGAATGGGATTGCCTTTCCTGATGCTGCTGCTAAACATATTGGGGTCACTTCTGAAATTCAACATCAGTCTCATGTTGCTTGCAAAGGAGATCTACAAGCAATAGCAAAATGAATGAAGGAAGACAAACACGACAGAAGCTGGGGCTAGAGAGTAACAGACAACTAACCTCTCTGCCACTGGGAAAGAGTCCACTTTCAGAGCTCTATGGCAGGACCTGACTCCCAGAACACTCTCCACAGGATCTCAGCTTTTTCAGTGGCAAGAATTACAGGACTGAAGTACCTGGGAGTAGCAGAAGAACTAGGCTTCCTGTGGTCAGTTTTATATCTAATCTAGTCAGTTTAGCTCTTCAGCTTACAAGCCATGGCATAACCATAAATACTCTCCCTACAAGCATATTCAAGTCACTTTTTTTTTTTTTTTAGTAGAATAGCATCAACCCAACACAGATGAGATGAACCCTTCTCTACCCTGCACGTGTTAAACTTCAGAATTGTTTAACTCTCGTCTATACCTAAGGTATCATAAAAAGGAAACAGAACTGCATTACCTCCTACATACATACTGTCTACCCTGGTCAGGAGCTTTCCCACAAATAGGAGATCACCAACATTTAAGGGATCAAGAGCAATTGGATGGATGCAGTGCAAGAAGTCACTAGTTACACAATACAGACTCACAGAATTACTGAGGTGGGAAGGCGCCTCTGGAGATCACCGAGTCCAACCCCCTGCCCAAAGCAGGGTCACCTGCAGAAGGCTGCTTAGGACCATGTCCGGTTGGGTTTTGATTATCTCCAAGAAGGTGTAGTATTACCTATTATAATAATACATTTAATACTTATGTAGTGTAACATCACTCATTACAAAAAGGGGTTTGTCTTTTTTTCTTCTCATGTTCAATGTTTGTATTCTTCAGGAATCTCTTCATGATTAGTCATTGACTAGAAGTTAACTAATTTACCTGAGATGATTAAAAAAAAAAAAAAAAAAAGGCATGAAAGCTTCTATTAGCATACAAATTTTGTGCCACTGTGTGCTATTTAGGTATATACTGAAAGAGTCTTTCCCAAATAACTCAAGCTTCTAAGGCTACGATCTGGTTACAGAATCAAAATAAAACAGTGATTGAATAAAGCAGAAGGCACTTATTTAATAGTAGGTTTTAGAAAATGAAGTGATGGTCATACCAAATCTGTTTAAAGTTGCTTTAAGCAATAATTAGTCACAATATAGATATTTAGTCCTATTGACTAGATTGTCTGAGGTTGCCAAGATTAAGGAACACGTTGCAGTTGCATCCCTTCCATGGAAAATACATCTTTGTTAGAGACTTGTACTCAGGTGTGAATTTATTTTCACAAAATAGGGACTGCAGCTGCAATAAAGGTTTTTAATGGCTGAACTTTATAAAAGGGCCAAACTAACTCTTTTGTACTTCCCACTGAGAATACCCCATTAGCTGCTAAGAAAGGGCTGACAATGGATACAAAGGCAAGCAGCCTGAGCAGCTGAAGTCAGATTAGAAAGAACTGAAATTTTTTACAGTAGGAGTATTTTTAGAATGAGTAGCTTTAGTCTGAGGATCTGATCCTCACACTGGTGATTTGTGGTTCCTTTTGTTTGTTTGCAAACTAAGCTTTTTCCAAGCATTGGAATTTGCTGGTACAAATCCATAGATTAAAAAAAAAAACTTCCTTAGCCAGAAGTAATTTCTGGTAAGTACACTAGTATGTTGATGGATTAAGCCTCTTCTCCAAAATCATAAGTGACTAATACGTTCCCTTTGTGGACCTCTTCATTAGAGAAATTTAACACTGACAAGTGAATGATCAACTACATGTACAGAACCAGAACGCAGGAAGTCTAAAACCAGAGTAATTTCAACTAAAAGAAGCTTTTAAAAGACAATTAACAGTCAAACCTATTCATGGAAAACATGATGCGTTATAAATACCTGCTTCATGTTCCTGCACCAAGAAGTATAAAAGAAATTGTGAAAGCAAGTGATCCAGAGGCTCTTGAGATTTGTGGGTTGTTTTTTGTGTTGGTTTGTTGGGTTTTGTTTGTTTTTGTTTTGTTTTTGTTTTTTTTTTTTTTAAAAAGGCTGTCCTTTGGAGAATAGCATATAAAGACCTGTAAACAGAGGTTGATTGTCCAAGCTTTCTTAACTGAATTTTGATTATTTTTTTAAATGTAAAAAAAAAAAAAAAAAGTTCTACTGTTAAACAGTTTTTGGTGAAACAAGCAAAACTTCTGTCCAAATGCGTAATTCCACTTTTGATGCAGAACCTCATAGACAGCAGAGGAGTTAAGGTTTCTTTGTGTTTTGTAAGGTTAGTATCGCATCACAATCCAGTAGAAGTCCCTTAATTTTTTCATGGAATTTTTCTCTGTACTGGTTGAAGTGCATAATGCTTTCTGGTTCTTCTTCAAACCAGAACTTGTCAAACTCATAAACCAGATAACCTGTGAAGAAAATAAAATACAGATCTGCAAAAATAACCTCCACAATTTTCTGCCTTGATCTAGCTAGACCTAGAATGATCCTCTAGACTCTATTCAATCTCTTAAAGTAGGGACTGTCCCATCCTGGTCAACAGCAAGCTTCTGGACACTGTAATAATGAATAAAAAAACCAAATCTGCAAATACCGAGTTCTCAGACTCCAGTCTCTAATATATAGAAAGCCATCCAAATTTATCCCTTAAACGTACATTTCTGTACCACAGTGTTTAAGCATCAGGTGCATTTCCAATACCTGATCCAGAAGATAAACAGCTTGCTCTGGCAAATGAGAAAAGAGTGGAAACGCACTCCAAAAAACCTAAACTCTACCTTGTAGGCCTCCCCCCGGTAGTAGTCCATACTAAAGAAGCTACAGATACTTACAATAAAACTGATGGAAGTGCTCCATCTGTGGCAACCCAAAGACCATGTTGTACAGATGAGACTTCAAAGCACCATTCTTAAGCAAGCTGTATGCCATTTCTGTCAGATTGATTCCGACTATTGCATAAGAATATCTGCAAACACCAATCATAGGTCACATTTTACCTTATGGATCGAAGGACTTAAAAGCTTCCCTGAAACAGCCTGCATTAGGATAACTGTAAGAGTCAATTTTCCCTATGATACTTGTTGACAAGCTGACTCCAGCCTACAGACCGGTCCTTCCATTCCCTGGTGCATACAACCATGTATGTTATTTAAAAACGCTACTTTCCTATACAATAGTATGGCAAATGCCTCCATTAGGCAATAATGAGACGGTAAGGCTTATAAACATTGACCTCAATTTGCTCCTTTGAAATCATTAAATCTGCTGGAATATTAAAAATCGGACATCAAAAACATTGTTACAGTATAAATGGAATGGCCATCTCAGCCTGGTCTTCCAAGCTAAAAAAATATCTGGTTTTCTATTGCATGGTATTGAAAGTACTACAACAGAAATCCTTAAAGGACTGTTAAAATGAGTGTTTCTGGGGGAAGGGAAAAATAAAAGGATTAATTTGTGTCAGTGATATGGGTATTTATTTGATCTAAATGTCTCGGATATCCTATTTGTGACCTAGTTGCACAAGGTAATATTATTTACAGTTGAAGTCATGAAAGCCTCCCATTCTTGGTAGGTGAACGAGTTAACTGGGGACTAGATGGATCAGATTATATACACAGGTTTACCAGCTTTCTTCTGTATCTGACTGGTTTTAGAGTGTATTTCCCTGTAAAATGAGCTAAATATTTTAATATGCAAAGTTTTACAAAATGAAGTTGAACAACAACAAAACATCTATTTTTATATACTTATTACAGAACAGAAACCTAGCAAAAAAGGGACCTTAAGAGATAATCTATACCATCCCAACACAAGATCAGTAAGAAGGCAAAACATAAGTATTCATTTCTAAATCTAATCTAAGCCTATTACAAATAAAGCTAACTATGATGTTAAAGGTGTTCACTGTGTTAACCAAAGCCGGTATTTTGCAACATTTTTGTCTAAACAAGTCTATTCTGAGATGGGGGGGGGGGGGGGGGGAGGGTGAAAATAGATCCCAGCCTGAAATTGATTTCTGTGTTCTGTTTCTCACACCTTTCTACTTTGGCCCTTTTTTCTTCCTTTAATGGAAAAAACCACAAATATTTTCCTGTTTACCTTCAGGACACATACTTGCAGTCTTCACATGAGCTCTTACACAGAACAAGCCAGAAAAAGTCATATAGAGACTTACCCCAGCTTTGGGTGATTTGAACGAGAAAGGATCTGACGAGCTTCATTGGTGTAATGCTTACTAAAATACCTGTCAGTTTAAAACAGGATTTTCCATTACTTTTTTTTAAGTTCTTATAAAAAAAAAAAAAAAATTAATGTGTTCAACATCAAAATGTATAGCTTTAAACTAAAGCTGAATACTACTCTGTACTGAAAAATGGCACAAAATGAAAACCAAAGAAAAGGTAGCAAATGGAATTCTATTCAGCATGAACTAATACAGTAAAAAAAAAAAAAACATTGTGATCTGAACATCAAATATTAAGTTCACCCAAGTCCACAAAATACCTTAGCAAAGTTATGCAAACCTGTTTATTTTTCATGACAGTAATGAATTCAGGAATTTCAAAAGCTTTTGACAAGTTACTTTCTAAGTTATAACCTATCAAATCTATCATATGACAACAAAAAAAAATACAGCATCTTGGGCAACTTTCTGTTCCTCCCCTCACTTGTTGGTCTCTACCCAACCACACATTTACAGATGTGCAGCCACTAGACATGTTGACTTATTTAGAAAATACTGTTTTCCACAGTACAGAAGCCACCATTTCTATTTGCTTCTATTCAGTCTTTATTACAAATAGCACTAACTAGAGAAAATTCATAGATATTGAAAATTAATTACAACAGAAATTAAATACTTCTTTTCACTTACACCAGATTCACTAACCCCAGCAGGCCCATTCCTCTGAAGTCTGTTTTGGGATCATCACCTTGGAAGCCAATGTCACACCACTGCTTGGTGATTCTGGCCTTCAGATTCTCATGAGGCATCAGCAAATTCCAAAGCTGCACAAATATGCTTCCATGTTATGCACAGCTGCTAAAGTATTCCAAGTCACATAATTCAGAACACTTGCTGCTGCACATTAGAAACCATTCACCAAGGAACAGGATACAATCTGCATGCTGTTCTTTTTCTATTAGTGTCAATCTGGAGTCATACTACAACGGCTTATTTCAGCAATTACAAAAATTATTACATTTAACATTAAATGCGGTAATTTCCCTTCATGGGCAAAGCCACTGTATCAATACCAAAGAAACAAAGCCTTCTTTCACTTCAGAAATTAATTTAGGCATAATTTTATGATAGGACAGCTATAAACTGAAACAAGTGAACGCTTCCTTAACACGTCAATGTTGGGACTTGCATAGCAAGTTGACATAATTATGAAATGCTAAGAAAGTGACAGGCTAATATATTTGCACAGTAGAAGCTATTTTAAAAAGCCTCAAGCAGTATTATATTATTTGCTCACTATTATTTATTGTTACCTAAAATACATTACTGATAGTTTTTATCTTCCAGCATTAAACTATCCTCTTTGACATTGACTGGGATGCAGTAATAAGAGAACACTGGTGTCTTTTTTTTCATTTAGTAATTACTGGTTTACAAAGTTAGAGATGTGCATAAGGTTAAATATCTCTTTAGTTATGATCCTTCAGTGACCTGTTACAAAATTATTTTGCTACTTATATGTTGTTGTTATGTGTGATTTCACACAAAATAATCCCAGTGCAACTCTAGTTTACTAATTTGCTTTGCATTGATGTTGTATTTTAATGCAACACTTCTATAATGGCTTACCAGTTCACAAGTAGAAAAGAGCTTTAAATAGGCCAGCTGGTAAGAATACTACCAATAAATTAAGTTCATTCAAGCTGTTGGACTTGGAGGAAAAAAACAAACAGCTTTTGTATTTAAAAGATTATTTTCACCTCAATTAACTGTTCCTCGTGTTCTTCGTTATCTGAATCATACGGGACCTTCCTCAGATTTTCCACATTCAAATAAAGTTTTTTATAACCTGATATCTGCAGTAAGGATATATGCAGATTTGTCTTAAACCTGAAATAATAACAAAACACCACACAGAAGCTATTAAAGAGGTGTAGTTAGCCATAAATTCTTGCTTGAACTACCAGATAAGACCCGTCTTATGTCAATGCAGTGTAAACACTAGAATTAGGAACTGCTTTATGTTTATCCTTCCAACTACAGCATATTCATTAAGTATACTGCTATATGGATCTTATTTCTACTTAAAAAAAAAAAAAAAAACCAAACCAAAAACCTCTAGGTGATTCCAGTGCTGCACAGTCAGGCCCTATTCATTTAAATTATGGAAGAAAAAAATAACTTGGCTACAATCTGTGATGACACAAGAGAACTCCATATATCATCCTGGCCCCTGTACCTCCACCTACCAAACTTTTTGTAAGTCTTAAAGTGAAACTTTGTCAGAAATACCTACAGCTTCAAAGAAGCATTTCATGAAACTTTAAAAATGTTGACTATTCACAATTTTTCCTCTCAATTGCTCATAATTACTTATGCAGATGAATGCAAACAGTAATCAAGCATCACTATACTCTCAGATATAGCTAAGCAATTATTTCACGTAATCAACCTATGAAATAATCATACTACTTAGAAACAAGGAGTAACAGAAGGGACTTGCAAGATAGAGGTGCAGTTATCCCAAATCCATGTCAATTAAAATTTTGCAATTTATTTTCTAGAACTGAAGAGGACATAACCATACTTTATTTTCAAATTTCATTCTAAAGATTTGTGCTGCATGGTCTAAATATTGTGTCATTTTAAGCAACTGCAAGAACACACAAAGAAGTCAGAATTATCTGCCACGAAGAACTTATGTTCAGGTTCCAAACGTACCCTGTATCCTTCTGTTCAATTTTCTTTTCTTTCATTACATCTCTGACACACTTCTCCACTTCAGCTTCCTCAACATGTACAGCATTTCTTAAAACCTAGGAAATGCAGTAAAAGACTTCATGAGGAATGCAGAAATCGATCATCTACTTTATTCTTATTTCTCAACATTTGTATACCTGCCATGTTTGTATCCTTTACCATATGAGGAGAACAGTCAATTTATTGCAAACATTTACAATAAATGGGCTCAAATCACATATAAAAGATCTGCCATAATTACATAAAACCATGATTTGTAACTTTGTCAGACTGTAAACAACATTTACACGGAAGTCCCCTAAAGAATAAAGAAAAAGCTTGAGAGTTGCCTAGTCTAGGCTCTCGTTTGCTTTCAAATGCCGAATTGAAACATGTTCTTCCTAATCCAATTGAAAGAAACATAGCTATCGAGGAGCAAAAGTGATAAACTTCAGTAAGGAAATAATGCTTTCCAATTAGGACACAGTGAACTAATGAAGTTGAAGTTTCAATGCTCGGGCAAAACAAAAGAACTTACTGTAAGATACTGCTATTCTGCAGTCTTCTAGAGTAAAGGGCAAATACTAGTAATGATAATTATATGCTGCTCACTTAAAATCGCTTCACAACAATTTAACTTCATCTTCTCAATTTTTTATGGTCACAATGCATTCTTTAAGGCAATTCATGCTAACACCAAAGCAGCTTCATTTCAGTAAAGCAAAAAGTTAACTCTTTTAAAACTGAACATTAACATATTTGATACAATCATTTAATTAAGAGATGCTAAAAGACCCACCCATACTGTCCTCTCCTGCAACAAAGACGCTTGTGGCAGTTACTAATATTCTCTCTCAACATCACACTGCAGTGATCAGCTAGAAAAAGGGAGAATGCAATTGCCTCACTGTCTAAAGAGGATAAGTTTTGCTCAAGACATACAAATTTGAGGGTTTAAAGTGTTAGCTTACAGCTAACTGCTACAGAACAATTGGAATGAGCTTGTCAGTTAAATGTCTACCCACAAACTGGCATTACTTTTTTTTTTTTTCAACAATTCATGACACTACTGTATATACTGCATTTAATTGATTTATCTGTATCACACTTCTGGTTTCTACAAAAACAGCAAGAGAGATTGCTGTGACAGGGAGAACTGACCCTCTCCAAGAACAGAAGCTCTGTATAACGACTTGTCTGACTCTCGCTGCTAAAGAGCAGGTAATCTTTCAGAGAGATGGAAACAAACATTTGAAGGGACATGGCGTGATTTTTGAGAAACCTTGACTAACCCCAGCATACAGAACCCAAAATGCTGTTCTCTCCTCTTTGCCTTTTATTCCTCTACTTTCCTCCACCCTCAAAAAGTAAATGCACGTGTTCTTTCCTGGGATCTGTCTCTGAAAGAAGGTTTTATTACAGTTTCATCTCTAGCATCTTTTACCTTATTCTTTGATGATTCCAGCGAATGTTCTGCAATACAAAAAAAGTAAACGTCACAGTTAAATTGAACCGAATTGTTTTAAATAATTGACAATGGGTGTTCTTGTGGTGTGTAAGCATTATAAAATTTTGCATCTCTTTTTATACATGTAATTAATCAAAAATTACTCAGTCTTAAAATCAACGTGTATCAGGTAACTGAAAGTCTTCATTTACACAGATTTATAATCCTCGAGTTCAATGCCGAGAATAGACTTGGATTTTTTAAAACGCTGATCAATCACATGTACAAAAACAAAGACATATTTGAAAAGGTGTGAAGACAAAAGCACATCTTTTGATATTTTTTCCATTCTTAGAACCGTTTTTGTGTTTATTACTGAGGGATAAGGACGCAAAGTCACCTCCTCAAGCTATTGTTAAAACGGCAAAATCTAGTAGTTTCTTAAATTACTATTTTGGATCAAAATTCTGCATCAAGCAGAATTGTGCATTTAATCACTTTTCCTCCCCTCACCCCCCAAAAAAGTGCATTCTTGTCTGTTCTGCGTGGCTTTTTTAACAACAGGACGGTAAAAAACATACACAAAGTGACGGGAAGACCCTGGGGAACAATACAAGACTTCTGATTCACTCTTTTGAAGCCAACTGGAATTACCGTCGCAAGCAGGCAAGGCAACTAGCCCTGGCATTCCGATTTAAAATTCTCATGGAAGAGCCGGGAAGGAGGGAAGGGTGAAAACGCGGTGCAGGGGAGGGACACCGCACTCGGGACAGGTACTGGTTTCCAACCACTTTCCTTCTGACCAGGTTTCTAAAGCTCCAACCCAGTCCCCCCCGGCTCGGCACCCTTCCTTACCTATGCTCAGCGTCCGCTGCGCACCTGCCTTCGAGCCCTCGAAAACGCGCTGCAGTTCGCATTTCCGAGTCAGCAGCCTCAAGACCCACTTCAGCCAAAACCGAACGTAGTTGCTGTACAGGAACCCCCAGAAGTACACCAACATCTTCTGCGTGAGGAAAGCGAGACAGCCCCATCACCACCACCACCCGCACCCCTTAGCGGGAGGGTCCCGACGAGACCCGA